TTTCTTTCTTTCTTTCTTTCTTTCTTTCTTTCTTTCTTTCTTTCTTTTCCTCTCTCTCTCTCTCTCTCTCTCTCTCTCTCTGCTTAGGGTTTGTGTTTAGTTTTTAATGCTGATTTTTCTATTTTTAAAAGTATGTTTTTATATATGTATTATTTTTACCGACTATTGCAGAGGTCTCCAAACTTGGCCACTTTAAGACTTGTTGACTTCAACTCCCCAAATTCCTCAGCCAGCAAAGCTTAAAGTTGCCACGTTTGGGGACCCCTGGACTCTTGTATGCCAGCCAGAGTCACTTTTCGTGAGACGGGCAGCTATATGGACCCGATTAATAAATAAATAGATCTGCAAATCTACAAGCATGGACCCTTCTGGCAAATTCAGAGAATCCTTCTCAGGAATTCTGGGACCCTGCTTAACTGCTTACTAAATGATTGAATTGGCTTCTGATTTGGTTGTTATTATGTATAGCCCAGTCAACATCAGTTGGGCCCCAAGTTAAGATTTCCATGGGTTCCACTACAATTCAATGAAAAAAATCACAACTGGACCTAACATTTTCGTTGCCAAGCAAGACAGTTGTTAAGTGAATTTTGCTTCATTTTATGACCTTCCTTGCCACGGTTGTTAAAATAAATCACTGCAGTGAAGTTAGTAACATGGCTTTTAAAATAAATCTGGCTTTCCTTGACATTTCTTGTCAGAAGTTTGCAGAAGGCGATCACATGACACTGCCACCAACATAAATCCATGGCAGTTGTTAAACGCCTGAATTTTGATCATGTGGCCACAGGGATGCTCCAACAGTCATAAGCGCGAAAAATGTTCATAGCTCACTTTTTTCAATGCTTTTGCAACTTTGAACAGCCACTAGATGAATGTTTATAAGTTAAGGGCTGCTTGAACCTATATTTACATCTCAGTATCTACAGGTCACACAGGTTTTTGTCAGGAGGGAGTCCTTCTGTTTCAAGACCCCATTCCTACTGCTGTTTTCACCATTTGTTTCATCTAGAAAATTGCTTAATAGGCAGTGTAACAAATATACTGGGTTTGGATATATTTCCTATTCTAACCAAAGCCATTTTAGCACGATAGTGTGATAACTGCATCTGTAGTACTGTAATTTGCACCTATGTCTATTCATTTCCTTTTTTATTTTTATCCTTGCCTCAAGGTAACCGCAGCCATTGTAACTTATTAAAAAAAAATAACAAAACCCACCCGAGAGAGAATTACCTCATTATTTCCTGGATATTCAAATCGGTGTTCCAGTTCTTTTCAATCCCTGGTACATGACCCATGCCGACCACCCCAACTACAACAGAAGGGACGCATCGTCTAGGTTCAGCTAGGGTGGAGAGCAAAAGAAACAATAATTGGCAATACCAATGTTAAATCACTTACACCAGGGGTACCCAACCACTGGGCCGCGGACCGGTACAGGTCCGTGGAACATTTTCTACTTGGCCGCTGGTTTGCTGGGCGCCGCCATCTTGTTTTGATGAGAAAGTGCTTCTGGGTGAGCTTTTCCGGTTGGAAAGCAGCGTTTGGGTCCTGAAGGAATCCTCGCGCCTTAGTTTCATTGAAGTGGGGGGGGGGGGGCGGCTTCGAACAAAACTAAGGCGTGAGGATTCTTTCAGCACCCAAGGCAAGGCGAGCCGAGCGACCATCCCGAAGCCGTCCCGAAGCCCATCGACAAAGGTACAAAGGAGGAGTTGAAGGTGACGGGGAGAAGCGGGGGACGGCTGGCTGGCGGTCGCTCGGCTCGCCTTGCCATGCGTGCTGATACCAGTACCGGGCCGCGGATCATTTTGTGATGCCGGTACCGGTCCGTGGCACAAAAAAGGTTGGGGGCCACTGACTTACACTACTGTTTTAGAGATTCATACGGATGCATTATTTCGCACAAGTCAACAGGGCCAACAGCAAAGGATCTTGGGAGTTGTAGTTGAGCCTCAGGAAAGGCTCCTTTGTTTACAGAGAATGAAAACAAGTCTCCCCGATACCAGTTTTGAAGGACAGGTCACCTGCCTGCAAAACACAAGCTGTAGCATTCAGCTTCTATTCTTTTCCTCCATCTATGATAGACAAGCATTCCAAAATAGAAGAAGGGAAAAAAGAGGGGAAAGAAGATATGGAGGAATATGGTTTTCACCCATAAATGCATCTGACTATGATCTTGCTTGAAGAAGTAAGCGGTAACCGGGTAGCAAATTTTTGGATCACTGAGTTAATTTACTGTCCTAAATCGGAAGTCACTGTTTGTTCAACCAAGGGTCGAAGCTAAATATATAAAACATTAAACTCAAACTTGAGATGAAGACAATAATTGGGATGATTCACTAGACTTAAACTAGAATGTCTGTTGATTATTTGTACTTAGTGCAATGTATTAATCTAACCAATGCAAACAATGGTTCATGACTTAGCAATATATGGTTTGAAAATCATAGTTTAGCACAATGCGCAAAACCATTAATTGACACATCCATGAAAAGAGATGCAGCTTTGAGGTTCTCAGATTACATATAGACATGGGGATGCTCTTAGAGTTGCTTCAGATCTGACAGTCCAATTATGATTCTTAAAATGATAAGTTATTAAATATGTGAATAATCACATAATGATTCCAAATTTAAATTTAAGTTTATTGCTTCTTGGCCTTTTTGACTAAGATCAAGAATGTAAACTTAAATTACATTTTGATTTAATCAACTCTGACAATCTTGACAAAGATCAAAATTGCTAGCTAAGGAAGCTTTCAATGCCCTCCATAATTTAACCTCTTAGCTTAAGCTGACTCAACCGTTAGATGTCAAATGCAGATGGGTTAGCCCTCCTGAGAAACAACACAGCAGAAGAGCTGCTACCCCTGTATAATGTAAATTTTGGGCTCATGCACTTCAGCATACCTTCAGAAGCACGAGGTAGTTCTGTCCTTTTTGCAGCTTGCTTCAGCATGTAAGTCAAATAAATATCTCTTTCTGAAACAATTGTTCGGTGAAGATCTGGAAATTCTCCAATCATTTCCGCCATCATTTGCTCTAGTAAATCCTTTTGTTTGCATTTCTCCACATCATCTTTACTGAAACAAAAATGTCTCAATGTCTTCATTATGTTCTCAGAGTGGAAAAAAGAGAGAGAATGGAAACTGGAAACTAAAACAGTTACAACGAAATGATAGCTCATTGAGAAATTAGTGCACAAGTAGGAATCAATCACAGACATTAGAACAGGTTGAGATGACATATTAGTAAACTTCCTTTTTTTAAAAGGATTACTGCTACATTGCAAATTCACTTTCCTTAGACAAGAGAAGATATTCATTTAATAAGCAATACTTAACCACCTGGAGTTGAGCACTATGACAGTGTTTTCCCTTTGCAGTTTTGAAAAAAAAAAATCTGCATAACTAATGTCAAAAAGAAATGAGTAAACTGCTTTGGATGTTACCTAGAGGCTTCTGAGAAAAAAACCCACTATGGATTATGATGGATTATATCAAATGAAAAATTACTGATTAATATGTTTGAGGTCAGAAATATGACATTTTTCTTTATTAATCATTAAAAAGAAGTAGTAGATGTTCCATCACTGGAGGGCTTTCAAAAAGAGACCGGATAACCACTTGTCTGAAATGGTATAAGCTCCCTTCCAACTCTGTTATTCCGTATTCCAATTATTTCACGTACAAACCTTAAATACCTTGACAAAAAGATTTCTACAACAATATATTCTATTTAATTCTATTTTAAACCAATAACTGTTTTCTCACTTGTAGAGTTGTAATTGCAGGAATGTTCCAATCTGATGGCAAACCTCAGATAAAGAATGTTTCCAAGCAAATACAACTCAGGCAGACAAAGTCATTAATGTAAAGGAGGATTAGAGAGAGGAAGTAAACATACGTTAGACTTTAACTAGAGATAATTAATTGTGTTAATTACTATGCTAAACAGTAATGAAAGTTAAGCAATAACCAAAGTTAACCAATGTTAGAGGATTACTAAAAATGTGTATAAATGCAAGGCTAGACTCCAATAAAGTTCCTCATGATTCATTTGATCATGATCAAACACCTCGACTGCCTCGTCATTACAACACTCACTGATGTAACTAAGCTATTTATTTATTTTTTTGAAAAAGGAGTTCAGAGTTCACTTCCTACTTACAAAATATTAATTACAAAGTAATGTTTTATAAAATATCGGGGAAAAGGTCTGGTGTTCTAACTACAGTTAGTACAGTATCAACTTCAATCCCAAAATATGCCAACTGTACACCTTTTTAAAGGACTCATCATCTACCACAGGATGTAAAAGATAACAAATGACTTCTATAACATTCAACTCCAGCAAAATTGTAAACTGCCCAGTGACTTATGTGAACTGGCTGGTGTAGAAATTTGATAGATAGATCAAATCTATTAACACTTAGACTTATATATCACCCCACAGGGGTTTAGAGCATTCTGAGTGATTTACAAATGTGAGCATATTGCCCTCAACAATCTGGCTCCTCATTTTACTGACCTTGGGAAAGATTGCTATAAATTATGTATGTAGTTTTTCTACACAGTCCACTTTTAAATGTTCTCCTTACATTGGAATTGTGATATTTGCGTTGTTTATTTTTCTGGTGCTGTTTATTAATAGAATTACTTTTTAAAAAGGGGATTTAGAAATGTCAAAATTTCTTCAGAAACTGACCTATCACATTAAGTACAGGTAGTCCTCAACTTAAAACCACAATTGAGTCCACAATTTCTATTGCTAAGGGAGATAGTTGTTAAATGAGTTCTGGCCCATTTTACAACCTTTTTGCCAGAGTTGTTAAGTGAATCACTGCAGTTGTGAAGGTAGGAACATGGTTGTGAAGTCAGTCTGGCTTCCTCACTGACTATGGTTGTGAGGGGGCTGCCAAATCACATGAGCCGAGGACACTTCAGCTGTCATAAATATGAATCAGTTGTCAGCCGTCCAAAATTTTAAGCAAGTGACCATGGGCATGCTAAAACTATTGTGTGAAAAATGATCCTAAGTCACTTTCATTGTAACTTTGGAATGGAGATCAATGAATACTTAATTGTAGTAATTAAGGGCAACACAGTGACCAGATGATGAAAGAAATATTGTCATTTGCTTTTGATCTTGCAAGACTCCTCCCCTTTCAACTAGTGTCCAATACAATCTGGGCATCACAACGGTAGAAAAAGGGCGTTGGTACTTACCTGATAAGCCTGTTTTCTGTGAGCTGTGAAGAGCATCCAGAAGTGGGAGGTGCTTCAGTCTCTTCTGGAAAGGCGGGGCTTAAAACTCCAGGACGCTCCTCCTCCTCCACGGGACACCTCCCCAGCGTCCCCCAGTTTTGCGAAGACTGAGTCCGGGACTCATCACCTAATCTGGATCCCTGATTGGAACGGAACCCCACCAGACGGAAAGAAATGGGTGGAGCTGGATGCTCTTCACAGCTCACAGAGAACGGGCGTATCAGGTAAGTACCAACGCGCTTTCTCCCATGAGCTGTTCAGAGCATCCAGAAGTGGGGCATACCAAAGCTTGGCCTGTCCTTAGGGAGGGATTCCGTCTGGATCGAAATCCACTCCTGAATTCTGTGGACCCTCTGCAGGACTCTTCTGCCAAATGAAACGTCTGCTGAGGCATAGACATCAATTTTATAATTTCTGACAAAGAGAGAGGGTGAAGCCCAAGTTGCCGCTCTGCAAATTTCGTCTATGGAAGCCCGTATGGCCCATGCTGCTGAGGTTGCCTCACTCCTTGTTGAGTGGGCTGTAATGCCCTTAGGAACTGAGATGGACTGGCATTCGTAACTTTTAGCTATGGTGGCTCTCAACCATCTACCGATGGTCGTCGACGACACCTTTTGTCCTAAAGTGGATGGGTTGAAGGATAGGAATAGAGCCTCAGATTTTCGAAATGCCGCCGTGAGGTCTAGATAGATGCTTAAGGCCCTTCAAACGTCAAGTCAATGCCACTGATGCTCCAGTCTATGAGATGGTTCCGGACAAAAATTTGGAAGCACCAACTCCTGCGCTCTGTGGAAGGCTGAATTTACTTTAGGAGTGAACGATGGATCCAATCGGAGAATCACTCTGTCCACATGAAACACGCACAGGTCCTTTCTCATTGACAATGCTGCCAATTCAGAAATCCTCCTTGCTGATGTGATTGCAATTAGGAAGGCCACCTTATAAGGCAGAAATTTAAGACTAGCGGTTCTTAAAGGCTCGAACGGGCCAGTTGTAAGTGCGGTTAACACCTTGTTGAGATCCCAGGTGGGATAGCAGTGAACTACAGGAGGTCGTAAGTTTGCAGCACCCTTAAGAAAGCTGCGGACATGTGGATGGTGCACTATGGAATGGAGGTCACCCCAGGCTATCACCGAGGCTAAAGCCGCCACCTGTCTGCGTAAAGTATTTGGAGATAGGCCCTTGGTCAACCCCTCCTGTAAAAAGTCCAATAATTGTCCTATTGATGGGGCAGTTGGGTCGATCTTAGACCCCTGGCACCAGCGACAGAAAGCGGACCCACGTGGCCTCGTATATACGATTTGTTGAGGACCATCTGGATGCTTGAATGGTGGCAATAGCATCCTCTGAAACCTGTTGGGCCCTTAAACGGCTCTGTTCAACCTCCATATGGCTAGACTGAGCCATCGTGGGTTGGGGTGAAGTATCGGCCCTTGGGAGAGGGAAACCTTTGACGGTGGAATTTTCCAAGGTTGTTCTCTCGACAGGTCCTGTAAATCTGCGAACCACGTTCGCCTGGGCCAGTAAGGGGCGACCAATATCAATTCTGCTCATTCCTCCTCCTTCCTTCTGAATCAACCTGAGTATTACCGGGAATGGAGGAAACGCATATAAAATTCCGGGAGGCCACTGACATCACAGAGCGTTGACAGCCTCCGCCCCCTGAGTCGGGTACCTTGAAATATACCGGGGCAATTGGGCATTGAGAAGAGAGGCAAGTAGATCGATCACTGGTTGCCCAAACCTCCGCACTGCTTCCTGGAAGACAGACGGGTGTAGGCGCCACTCTGCCTGATCTATTGTGGCCCTGCTGAGCCAGTCTGCTTGTGTGTTTAAGGCCCCTGCTATGTGTTCTGTCTTGAGCGAAAACAGATTGGCCTCGGCCCACTTGAACAACTTGGCCATCTCCAGCATCAGAAGTTTGGAATGGGTACCCCCGTCTGTTTACATGGGCCTTGGTTGTGATATTATCTGTCAAGACCAGAACGTGGCATGATTGGAAAAGGGGTAGAAAACTGCATAAGGCCAGGTGAACTGCTCGCAGTTCCAACAGGTTGATGCTTTGTGATTGTTCGGAAATAGTCCAAATTCCCTGCGCAGTGTGGGATTGGAAGTGAGCTCCCCATCCTACCAGGCTGGCATCGGTTGTGATCGTTGCCCTGTAAGGTTCCTTGAAAGGACACCCCTTGTTTATTGTTTTTTCCAACCACCAGCGGAGCGATCGGAGAACATTGTGCGGTACCTTTATCCGGACGTTGGAAGTGGCTCTTCCAGATCGCTGGAAAGGTAGCAGGAACCATTGCAGCTCTCTAGAATGGAATCGAGCCCAAGGCACAACAGAAATACAAGAAATCAGTTTCCCTAACAGTTGAGACAGCACTGCCAGGGAAACCCTCTTTAAGGCTCTGATCTCTCTGGCCAAAGACTGGATACTGTTTAACCTGTCCTGAGAGAGAAAGACCTTGCCCTCCACGGTATCTATCACTGCCCCTAAATGAACTAACCTAGTTGAGGGGATCAAATGGCTTTTATCCCGATTTATGGAAAATCCATGACCCTGAAGGGTCTCCAGAGTAACCTTAGTATCCAATTTTGCTTGATGTCTGGAAGATGACAAAATTAAAATATCATTCAGATAACATTGTAAGCGAATAGATTTGATCTTGAGTGAGGCAGCCAAAGCGTCTAGGACCTTGGTAAAAGTCCTAGGGGCCGAAGCCAGACTGAATGATAGGGCGATATATTCGTAGCGCTGATCATAATAGCAAAATCTAAGATATTTGTAGTGAGCAGGTTAATTGGTATATGTTGATAAG